GTCTTTACCCGACAGCACCTGGACCTTTGAGAGCCAGCAGGTGAGCACCAATCATGAAGGCACAGTAAATAAAACGTGTTCTAGAAAATGTTCTGTTCCCACTAAACATTAGACGTCGAATGGATGTGCAGATCACGTTTATATTGAGTCCGTACGTCTAGACCAATTCTGGACATCTCCACGACGTGCAAACAAGGTCCACTCTGGACGTCTAACCATGACCTCATTTGCACGTCGATATAAAGTCGAATGTTTGAACGTCTGACCTGGAGGTCGTATAGACATCCAAAACAGGTGCAGGTGTGCCTTAGTGAATCATAATTCTTATAACCATAAAATTTACAATCATAATTTATAATCATAAAAGAGTAACTGTGCACAGTTACTCTTATGATTATATATTTGCACGGCTTCATTCATAAACCAACTGTTGCTATTTTCTCTCAAATCTATTTCTGTTAATCCAGTAAAGAGGATAAAGGAAAAAAAATTAAGGAGTGATTTATTTGTAAAACTTAGTCCATCTGTTTCTTGTGACATTTAAGGAGTGATGATTTAATTGTAAACCTAGTATATGTAGTGTGTGGTTTCCTGTTGCACGTTAGATGGTCAAATGTACTGTTTCTTTAACTTTGTTTGCTGCACAAAGATGGTGCAGTGGCAGAGCAGCTGACTTTAAACCCCAAGGTCCTGGGACCTGGTTCCCCAGTCATTCCAACATCCATCTGAGGGTGAATGTGTTAAACTCTGCAGGGGAACATGCAATGAAGACAACACAGAGCACTTACTAATTATTTTATTATATGAAGTGAATAAAATAAGTTTAATTTTTATGTAGAAAATACGTCTATATTGACCGTCCAGTGGACGTCGGAAAAAGACGTCGTCTGTCGTAACAGTCTGCACCTGCAAGGGACCAAAATTAGACGTGCAAAAACGACTTGAAAAAGACGTCATTTAGACGTCTCCTTGCTCAGTGGGTTGAACTTACAGTTTTTTAACTTTGCTTGAACAGGTGGATCTCTAAGTTCGTTTTATAATTTCTACATGTTATGGTGCAGAAACAACACACAAACAAACATTAACGAATTTACGTAACATTTATTCAAATCATATATTCAGAAACGTCTTAAAAGTAGTTAATATTTAAGTACCCAATTTTTATTTTTAAACCTCATTCATTTTATATCATTAAAACGTTTTTGTTTAATTCGTTGATTACAGTTGGATTTTTGCCCAATAGCATTTTTTTTATCTTTGATAGATTTGAAAGTTCTTTCTATAATCTGCTCCTTTATAGGCACTATTATTAAAAACAAGTTCATACATTTGTTTTCTTTATTTTCTGTCCTATTCTGAACACCTTTTTTAACAGTTTTAGTCAAACATGTTCACCATGTGACTTTTATGTAGCTAATGTATGAACACTTTGAAATATATAAAAAAAAAATCTAGAATTTAAAAGAAAGCCCCTTTTTTCCACCTTTGTCCTGAGCAGCCATCTTTCTGAGTTTCCCTGAAGGAAAGGCACGTGTGGAAACCACGCCCCCATGCGGTTACTGCGCGCCTTGTTTCCTGTGACGTGTGCAGCTCTTTTCATCATGAGAGAACAGAGCACATTGTTTCTTGTTCTCTGTAACAACACAAAGTAGCATTTCCTGCCACTTATCTATCTTATATGTAAAAGTTAACACAGTGTGTTTGTTCCTGCCTGTGGGAGAGAAGTGACTGAGAACTTGAGTGGGTGTGGGAGGTGTGACAGCGCTGCTGCAGCTTTGTCCTCCAATAGGAGGCCTGGCCTCTGCGCTCCCCCCGCCCGTGGGGAGAGACAGGCCGAGGAGAGACAGACAGCCCAGAGTTTCAGAGCAGCCAGGGACAACTTTGATTTTCGCCTCGTGTTTATTTTCTTTTTGTAATAATCTGTGTCAGGATGATTTTATCCGAGCGCGCCATCGCTTTGCTTCTGGAGTGGAAATGTTTACATGGAGTCCTGTAGCCTCGTGGAGATGGATACGTGACGGTTAGAGAAGAAAGTTCGGAACTTTCCCCCCCGATCCTCTGAGCGCAGCACAATGGACTCCGGGTGGAGGAAGCGCTCCAGAGGAGGAGGAGGAGGTGGAGGAGGGAGGCTGTGGAGGCTTTACTTCTGTCTGGCCTGCGTGTCCTCTGCCTCGGCTCAGCTCAGCTATTCCGTCCCGGAGGAGCTCAGTCCGGGCTCGGTCGTGGGGAACGTGGCTAAGGATCTGGGTCTTACAGCCCAGCAGATCGTCCAGAGGAAGCTGCGCGTGCAGTCGGAATCAGGGGTGGAGTATTTCGAGCTGAAGGAGGTGACCGGAGATCTGGTGATTAAACAGAAAATCGACAGGGAGCAGCTGTGTGAGCTGAGGTCATCGTGCTCACTGCACCTGCAGCTGCTCGTGGAGAACCCCCTGCAGATCCACCGGGCCGTGGTGGACGTTCTGGACGTGAATGACAACGCTCCGAGGTTTTCCACCAGCACCATCTCCCTGGAGGTGTCCGAGGCGGCCTCGCCGGGGACGCGGTTCCGTCTGGAGAGCGCGCACGATCCAGACGTGGGTGCCAACTCTTTACGCACGTACCAGCTGGCAGCGAACGACTTCTTCATCTTAAAAGTGGAAACTAAAAGCGACGGCAGCAAGTTTCCAGAGCTGGTGGTGGACAAGGCTTTGGACAGGGAGGCGCGGGCGTCGTTCCGCCTGATGCTCACGGCTGTGGATGGGGGGCAGCCGGAGAAATCTGGCTCCACTCTTCTGCTCATTAAAATCCTGGATGTGAACGACAACGCGCCGGTCTTTGAAGAGCCGGTGAAGAAAGTCACCCTGCTGGAAACTGTGGCACTCGGCACTTTAGTCACGAAATTAAACGCGACGGACGCGGATGCGGGCAGCAACGGGGACATATCCTTCCTGTTCGGTAAATACACGTCGGAGCGCGTGCTCCAGCTGTTCAGCGTGGACTCTAAAAGCGGAGAGATCCGTGTGAAGGGCTCCGTGGATTATGAAAAGGGCGCATCTTATCACATCACCGTGCAGGCCAGAGATGGGGGCTCCCCCGCCATGGAGGGATCCTGCAACGTCATAGTGGACGTCACTGATGAGAACGACAACGCGCCGGAGGTGACGCTGACGTCACTGACAAGCCCCATCAAAGAAGACTCGGATCCAGGGACTGTGATAGCCCTCATAAGTGCCAGGGATCTGGACTCTGGCGTTAATGGGCAGGTTACATTAACTATCCCCCCAGGGTTGCCTTTTAAACTGAACTCAGCTTTTGGCATGCATTATAATCTGATCACTGCCAGCAGACTGGACCGTGAGACTGTCCCAGAGTACACGGTGGTCATCAAGGCCACTGATGCTGGCTCCCCGCCTCTTTCATCACAAATATCCTTTGTGGTGAAGCTCTCAGATGTAAATGACAACCCTCCCATCTTCTCCCAGCCTTCATACTCCGTGGACATCCCTGAAAACAACGCCCCCAGCTCCCCCATCACTGCTGTGTCTGCCACAGACCCAGACCTAGGTGAGAATGCTCACGTCTCCTTTTCCATCCTTCCCAGCATGGTCCAGGGCTCACCCATATCATCCTATGTGTATATTAACCCAGAGACAGGACACATCTACAGCATGCGCTCCCTGGATCACGAGCAGCTTAAAAACTTCCGCATTGAGGTGCAGGCCCAGGACGCTGGGGTGCCCCCACGGACGACGAACGTCACTGTGCATGTGTTTGTGGTGGATGTGAATGACAATGCGCCAGTGATGGTTCACCCCTCCCACCCTAAAGACAAAAGACTGCAGCTGGCTGTGCCACCATCTGCTGGCCCTGGTCACCTCATAAATAAACTGGTGGCAGTGGATGCAGACAGTGGGCACAATGCGTGGTTGTTCTACTCAATCGCACCCGGACCAAATGTTGGCATGTTCCGCATTGGGGCCCACACCGGGGAGCTCCGCACAGCCCGCAAGCTAGCAGAAGAGGAAGGGGGCTCAGCTTATGATATAACAGTGGTCATCCAGGATAATGGTGATCCACCAAAGTCCAGCTCTGTGAACATTACAGTAACTGTGGACGAGAAGGCTGCAGCCAATGAAGCTCCTGTTATCCCCCACCACAACCAGTTCTACCACCGCACCGGGATGCCTGACATCACTCTGTACCTCATCATCTCTCTCGCCTGCGTGTCAGGCGTTGCGTTTATTACGTTTGTGGTTTTCATGGTGCGCTGCCTGAGGCACCGGGACCCAATGCTGGGGGACTCCGAGTGCTGCTTCTGCTGCTACGATCGCCACAGGCCCAGCCGCTACCACCAGAGGCCCAGCAAAGACCTGCACCTGCAGCTCAACACTGATGGACCTATACGATACATGGAGGTGGTGGGAGGCCCCCAGGATCCACACATGCGCACCTACAGGCCCTGCTACTCCACCATATCCAGCCGAAGTGACTTTGTATTTATGAAAACACCCATGCTGAGCCACAACAACACACTCAACACGACGCTCAGCAGGAAGCAGCTTATGAACTCAGTCAGTGAGGTGAGGGCTTGAGTGAGACAAAACGGCTCCCTCTGTTGTTATAAGACAAATATTGTGGGGGTATTGGTAAATAAACAGGGTTTTAATTCTGCAAAACATATTCTAAGGTGTGTGTGTTTTAAACAAAACAGTTTACTGAGACTGTTTTTTTGGATTAGATGTATGACTGTAGGATGATTATCGCTTTTATAGTTGTAGAATCCTTCTTTCCAACAGGTCCTGGGCAGGTTTTGTCAAATTTTGTCTTTGAAGTCAGAGAATATGGTTGCCATCACTGTCTTGAAGCAGTTTGGGTAATATGGAGTGCTTTCTCTATAGACGACAACAAAAGGTAGAAAAAGTTATGTCAAAAGAGGCCAGATCAGAGTAGGTTAACTGGAAAAGGAAAGCAGGAAAACATCAGGACGTCTTAACAGATGGAGAGGTGGAGACACCCAGATGAAAATGGGTTCCAGCCGGGTTGGCTCCGTCAGAATGACTGGGAGACAGACAGGAAGAGGATGACAGAAGGAAAGATGGGGGGATGAAGGAAAAGGGAAGTAGGAGGCGGAGACCCACAGACTAAAGCAGTAGATGAAAAACAGGAATTTGTGGGATCACTGGCTTGACCCCGACTTCCTGTTGTCCGCCGAAGCTCTGGTGATTAGTTCCAGGATGTAATGACACATACAAGAGGCATTGCTAGGTGTTTCTGACCCCACTCTGATGTATTTAGAATGAGGTTTGAAAAAGTTGGCCAAATAATGATTTAATGCATCAAAACAGACACTGTAGCAGAAAAGAAATAACTTAAGGTGCTGACATTCATGTGATTTACTATAGAGTCTAAAGATGGGGGGGGGT